GCTGTACTGTCTCTTGCAGTCTGTCTTGTCATTTCTTACAACAACCTCTTCTCATATCATTCTTGACCTGCCCCTGGCTCTCCTCCCCTCTATATTTAGGCTCATGCACCTCTTGATCCAGTTGGTCTCATCCATTATCTCCACATGCCCTAACCATCTCAGCCTGCCTCTACACAGGACTCCCCAATGCATGTACAGTACAGTGAGATCAAAACCCAGCTGCCAACTCAGCCGTCAACAGGCCCATCTGTCTTTCCCTATTCTCATGTCAGCTCACTCAATCTAATTATGTTATCCTCTTTAGCTGCCCATGTTTCACTGCCATACAACATCACACTTGTCAAACAAGCTGCATACATTCTTCCTTTCACTCGGAGGGAAGGTCCTCTTGTAGTTACTAAAAGCTGCAACTCCCGAAACCTTCTTCCAACCACTTCTGACTCTTGCAACTGAGCAGGCTTCAGCACCCCCACCAGCACTGATCATGGCACTAAGGGAACTAAACTCATCGACAAAGTCCAGCCTTGCTGAGGGCACGTAGTTACCGGTAAATGCACATACAGAACACTTGAAGCCAACAACATCCTGCAATCTACCAACTCCTCCACTGAACCTCTTGTGTATCAGCCTCCCACACTTGTTGCACATTATTGAGTTGCTGCCAACACCTCTTGCAGACAGCACATGGCCACTTTCTACTTTCCACCATGGGTCCCCACTCCTTCACCCTAACCATTAATCAATGCTTTGCCTCTATTCCACCCATACCATTACTTCAATTTCTCCATTGCCTCTCCAATACTACAGTATCTGCTATCAGCATAGAATATTTCCCAGGACAGTTCAGTCCTACAGTCCTGTTATAAAACCTCCACCACCACCATGTTAAACAAAATAAGGCTCATGTCAGACCCCTGATGGACTTCTAATCTTACCTCAGATTCTTCAACTTTCCTCATCAATAACTACTTGAACAAGGTACAGCAATGTATTTAAGATTGTCTGGGAGAAAAAATAAACACAAACATATATTTTTCCTTATTCATTCATAGTAATATAAAATATGTGGTCTTATAAGGTATACTTCAACAAAAAGACCCCAAATAAGGTCTTCACACCATCAGGTATCTGTAACATGTCCTTCTTCCAGTCACTCATTTGTGTTCACCTACAGTCATGCACACTAATGCTTTCTACATGTCCCTTCTGGAGTATGTTTTACCTGTACTTAACTTACTTAATGGCAACTGTTTCCCTCATACACTCTGACACATACTTCACTCTCTCTACAGAAATTACTGTAACCACTTGTGTATGGGTTGCCCTCTATGCCAAATAAAATATTAAAAGTGGTGTCCCAATACTGAAGGGCTAGTTGCTTGTGTAACTTAGACCAGAGGATCGCGCAATTAGTTCATATTCTCCTGCCATTGTACAAGATTGTTCCCTCGCTTGCTGCTGTTTTTGCGTACAATTTATGTAGTGCAATGCTGTACATTACTGTACCAGGACACAATCAGCCAAGAATATGTTAAAAGTGTCAAGATGTAAAAAGTGACTACAGTTACATATACTGTACTGTATATTCAATAAGAGTGAAAGTACTGTACATAGCAGAGTGGACAGTGCATGCCTACTGTAGGCTACTGTGTAGAGGTGTATGTTTAGTAAATACAGTGCATATACAATCCCTCTATCATGAAGGTAGAGCATAGTGACAGTAACACCTGCTACAGTAGATGGTACAGGACAAAGGCAGGCCATCCTGTATCATCATATCACCATTTGACCTGCCTGCATCACAAGCCCAAGACGACAGCACCTACTGGTCAGTACAGTATACGGTAGTACTTACAGAAGTATATTTTGTTTATTTACAATATATTGCTTGTGTACAGTGGTGTTTGTATAATTAAATACAGCTCTGTGTCTATCCATGCGAGAGGCATAGCTTAGGCTCATGGAAAACTTTCCCCAGTACTGTACCAAGAAAAAATCTAGGGTTGTGCATATTTTTCCGGAGATGAGAAAATTTGTCTCAATACCCGGAAATTTCTCGTTCCCCTAAGAGCTTTGCACCAATTATTCCAGGTAATGGGGATATCACTGTATAAAATTAACCACATGTACTGGTACTTTTTAACTAACTTTTTAATTAACTGGAGAACATATGCAATGTGAAAATTCAAACCTAATTTTATTCTCTGATAATTTTTTCTTCCTTCAGATCTACAAAAAAGATCTAAATCCCTCCCTTCACAAGTAAGTTATAGTCATGTATCTCTTCCTATACACACATAGTAAGTGACACATGGCTTCAACCATACAGGATTTACCAACATATCAGACACATAAACTGAAATTACATAAAACAATTACCGTAGTACAGAACAGTAATTAAATAAATAGTAATGTATTTTAAACAGAGTATACACACATTAAAATACAGTACTGCATTTAATAATACAGTAAATCTATACAGTCAGCCTTTAAACAGCTTGTTTAAGTCATCTTATTTAAAAGACTATATTAATTTTCAATAAAAAATCACATGATATTATGATATACAGAATATAAAACTATGGACTATTTAGCCAGGTAAAGGCTGTGTGGGTTAGTGTTTGAATCAGGTGTTTTGATTGTACTGTTGTATGTATAATTATCTCACATGTGAGGCACTGAGCAGCTGACATGTGCCTGGTGCCCACTGAGCCTTTATTACCCCACATTACAGTACTGTTAGATGTACTCATATGTATAAATATACATTCATGCAATATTTATTATTAACAATAATTGTATTTTATTATTTGCTTTTCTAAATCTTTGTATAATTCATATTATAAATTACTTTAACAGTATATATACTGTATACCTTACAGAGCAGATACTTTTGCTCTTTTGTTTAGGAGCGTTGGTGAGAGAAGAAGCAACAAGTAACTGCTATAAAGGTGTTGGTGAATAATACACCGTTACTGCATTGATCAGATTATAATTACCCTTCATTGTTATTTAATATTAACATGTTAGTAGAGCGTAGTTTCTGTGACGGTGTGATGATGTGGTAAAGTGACAAATGTGAAGTATGGGAGAGACGCCCTATGACCGCATGTTTGCCGGACCCGCTGTGACTTGTACAACATATTATGGCAGTTGCTGAGGGATATAATATTCCAACAACATTTAGTAAGCGTTTAGGGAGATGGAAAATTTAAATTAAAGCATGGATGAAGGTTATGAAACTGACCAAGAAGAAGCAGAGATTAGCAGCTGTTCTGTCATTCCCGGAGGACAGTGGGGCAAGAGACAAGGTTTTCAGCGAGTTGGATATAACAAGTTTAGATGATGATGATGATGGTCTCAAAGTACTGCTGTAATTTCTTGATAAGTGAACAAGAACGATTAACTGGTAAGTGCATATGAGTCATGGTCAAAGCTTGATAGATTTAAGATAATGGTTCTCATGACAATGGATGATTATATAATGAGGTATAACAAACTGTACAATTTAGTGAAGACACATTACATAGAAATGCCAAAGCCTACATTAGCTTTCAAGGTGGTGGATTGTGCATGTTTATCACAGACTGAAAAATAATTAGTGTTAACAGGAATTGATTAAAAAAAAAAAAAAAACCACCCTTCCTGACCATATGTCCTGTTACTTAATAAATTTCTATGGAAGCAATCTGTTGCATCAGAGGACAAAACTAAAATTACCATAAAAACGGAGCCCGAGACAGCAGACACCTTAGATACTGGTCGTTCTCAGTATAAAATGCCTGAATAGGAATACAGGAACAATATCTTTCACAGAAGGTACGTACAAGGTCGTGGACGAGGAAGATTTAGTGGTATGCAATCCCCTACTGCACAGAGGATGACAGGAAGACACCCACTGGAGAGACAGGGAACACAGACTGAATATTGCCAAAGAAAATGGAGAGGCCAAGGCAGTGAACTGGGAAAATGAGTTAGAAGACTGGAAAGGAGTTAGTGGACATACGAAACAGAAAAGTGTAGAGGAGGAGGTTAGTGTTGTGAGAAATAGAATGGAGGAGCAGAGGTTCAGAGCTGCCAAGTATATGGAGTTGCACAACTGGAAAGATTTTAATGTGCATACTGAGGTACCAGATAATGGACAGCAATTTTTGTCCCTCAGTTCAAGTATTGTACTTAGAAACAAGGTATGAATAACAATTCTATAGTTAAAGTAAGGCTTGTAGTCAGAGGCTTTGAAGAAGACATATCAGAATCAGGTACAAGAGTAGACTTTCACAGCTGGAAAATTAGTAATTTATAGGTTCTTAAATCTGCATTTTTGCAGGGCACTAATTTCCAAAGAGAAGTATATATAAAGCCTCCTAGGAAGCACATACTTCAGGAGAAATACTGTGGAAAATGAATAAATGTGTTTATGGTTTAGGTGATACTTCACGGGTCTGGTATTTCTCTGTGCGGGCTGTTATGCTGAACCTGGAATGTGAGCAGCTCAAGAGAGACCCTGCAGTGTTTATATGGTATCATGGGGGACAGATTTCTGGTATGGTTTTGAATCACATTGATGATTTTCTCTGGGGGGGTTCAGACATATTCGAATCTCAAGTTGTACAGAAAATTAATTCGGAATTCATAATTGGAAATGAAGAAAGTGGTGTATTGTATTTAGATATATTGGTCTGGATGCTAAACTTGATATGTCTGGAATCACTCTGAATCAAAACTAATATCTGGACTGTATTGAATCTATTCCTATGATACTGGGGCCTCAAGTAAATGGGGAGCACTAAATAAAGAAGAAAGTGATCAACTTAGATGTCTCATTGATCAGCTGACTTGGTTATGCATACAGTCAAGATCAGATATATGCTATCATGTACTGGAATTGAGTACAGTAGTTCTATTAGAAATCCAGTTGTTGACCATTATATGAAGCAAATAATATTATAAGTTAAAAAATGTTAATTCTTTATAATGTTCCTATTTCTAGATTAAAAACTGTAAAACTTGTAGTCTTCAGTGATGCTTCATATGCCCCAGTGCTGGAGGTTATATTGTATTGCATTACCTGTGCTAGTAAGGTGAAAATGGTAGAAGTTGTCCTTTAGCATGGGAATAAAAAAATATTAAAAGACTTATCAAAAGTACTGTACACTGGCTGCAGAGACCCTTACCCTTGTTGAAGCACTTGATATGGGATGTTACCTTCACATCATGTATAAAAATAATGACTTAAAAATAAAATCTATTCCCATATACGGTTCTATTGATAATCACTCCCTATGGAATAATGTGCATTCTATAAAAAATGTATCAGAAATATTACCCAGAGAAATTTATCACCAAATAGAAACAAATGAAGGAGAGAAAGACAATTTACAACATTCTCAATGAAATACAGAAAATATTCATGAACACCAACAACAAAAAGTTCTCCAACACCTGGGTACGATGGGTGTGAGAATGGGGCTTGTCTTCTCGGAATGGTTTCAAATTCTTCGTTCATTTTTCAGATTGTATAGTGCTTATAGCATTCAAGAAGTTTTTGGTGAGAGTGTACAGTACATGCAAGCAAAAGCTCCGTGAATTGGTGGTTTTCAATGATTAGACTCTTGCAATGTATTCAATGTACAGTATATATGAAGGACTGATACTGAAATCCTATTAATGTATCCAGCTCAGCCTATAGCAAAGTAGCTTCTGTTAATACACAAGCAGTTTTGAGGTTCCTAATACAGTACCTATAGATGATACCCTTCAGTGGCATGTCCCTCCCATTACAACGACCGGGTATCTCCTTTAACAAAAATAAAATAAACAAATAAATATAATAAAAAACTGTTGGCAAGTAACAAAGTAACAATACTTCTTTCTTCCATATGTTTAGATTTTTTCAGAATTTACTTTAATAAACAGTACAGTACTTTGAAATTTAAATACATTTTTGGAGGGAATATTGTAAAGTACTTTTTCTTCAGGTGATAAGTCGACAGAAACTGCTCAAAACTGGTGGACACAGTAATGTATTCAGACTCTATCAACCTGAACAAGATTCAGTCACAGGTATGGCACAGAAGGCACTGAATTTTGTTCCTCAAATGTTGCTGAAACTCATAATTTTGCAAATGAAGAATATAAATGTACTTTGAGTATTCATTATTATTCACCAATTTGGAGCACAACCCTTGACTTGACAATAATACACAGAGCTTGAAAAGTTGAATCTGTTCTCTTAGATAGGCAGCTGGAGACCACTGTAGTTATAATGTGGCAGATTGACTTCGAAATCATGAAGGTGTCTGTAGGTGCCATGATGTGTACTGTATGTTGACTAGGTAGAGACAGCTGCCTCTAAAAAGCAACCTTTGCTTCTATACCCGTGTGAGAGTTGAAGCAGGGAAGGGTGGGATACCATAAGATCAACTCCCTACTCTATAGCAGGTATGGTATTCTGTTCTAGAAGTCACAAAATGGCTTACGCATAAACGGGAGTTACCAAGTGGTTGATGGCAGGTTAAAAATTTCCCTTAATTCATCAGCTGATAATTCTGCTTCCCTTTAATCTGCATAACTGTCTGGCATTTCTTCTTTCACATTTAGGTCACTATCCTGTATTTCTATCTTCACACATATGTCTTGATCCTCTATTTCTTCCTTCATACACAAGATAATGTCCATGTTTACTTTCCTCTGATACTCTTCAAGGTTTGAGTTTTCATCAGATAGGTTTTCATCACTGTCTATTTCCTCCTTCACAACTGGATCATACTTCAGAATTTGTCCTTTCATCTCCTCATCACTGTCCATGGTCTCTTCCCTTATGGTCATACCCAGCACTTGCTTCCCTCCATCAGCAGGGATCTTCACACTGTTCTTTCTATGCTGTACCTGCAAGAAACAAAGGATGCTAGTTCTTTTTGCCCTTTATAGGGCAAAGTATCCCTTTGGTATTTTATTCTGGCAAATGCCAGACGATGTTATCCAGCTGAGGGGAGCCCCTGAACATTAAAGGGTTAATAAGGAAAGAAATGTAAGAAGCAATACCTAGTGGGATAAAGACCAATATTAACCGAACCTTGACTGACTGCATAAAGGTAAGAATATACAGTATATTCAAGGTTGATGTTTTTTTTATGTAAGTAAACAATATATAACCTAAAATACTCATATCTACTGTACGAAGATGATCGTCTGTATAGTCACTGTAAACAACTGAAACAGATCACTATGTTGCTTTGCTTGACAACTGAAAAGTATTTCCAAACAACAATTCAGAAGTGAGCAAGTCAGTTAACCCTGATCACATACAGCACTATAACACAGCACCCAGGAGTACAACCACATTATAACTGAAACACTGTAATTAGTAGGTTAGGATTTTTTGGTTTACTATGTTCAATTTATCAAATGTGTATAAAACTGTCTACTGTACTGTACTACAAACCTGTCCTGAAGCATCATACAACCCAACATAAAATGCAGGGTAATATAAAGCTTATGTCATTCACACTATTATCTACTGCAGTACAGTACTAGTTTTGGGGGACAGTTGTTGAGAAATAATATAATAATTCCCATAACATTAATGTAATATTCTTTAGAGGATAAAATAATAATATAACTTGGTATGAGGGGTCTCTCTTGTATTGAGTACTGTCATCAGATGTTAACCTTGAAATAAAATATTAAAAGTGGTGTCCAGTTGTGAAGGGTTTAGGTACTGTACTTACATATTCCATGATCAACCGTTTCGTCCTCGCCTGCCGACTCTCCTTTCTGCTAATTTTCTTTATGATGTTGGCGGTCTTCAGTTTTGGAGGCTTCCTTTGCATCTCAACTTCTTGATCTGAGAACAAATTAATTTTTTAATACTATTTTTCACATGATGCAACACATATGTGAGTTTTCAAATAACTACAGTATACAGCTATAGTACTGTAATGTACTGGTAAAATTTGTTTCTACAGTATTACCCCGCCTAACGCGGTTTCACTTAACGCGTTTTATCATATACGCGGTGCCTCGCCAGAGCTGAACTTTCACTTAACGCGGAATTTTTCATCATATACGCGGAAAGCGGCGCGGGCACGATGCGCACAAGGTCGCCCAGTCATCAAAACATTACCGAGTTCTTCACCCGCCACCCACCACAGCCGGCCCAAGTCAGTGATAGTGATAATTATAGTGAGGATATGGACTTATATGGCCTTTGAGGGGTTTGACAAAGAGGCCCTGCAAGCCTCTGTGGTGGATAGTGATACAATTGATACAAGTGATACAGGTGAGGGCCAATAATCTGCCCTCTGCCTCGGAACCAACCCCCCATCCCCGTGTGCCCAGCCACCTTTTCTACTAATGCAAGTGTTAAAAAACCTAATATTATTGATATTTCTCTTAATTATTAATTGTGTGTGCATACCATCATAAAGTTAAGATAAAATTTTTACTACAACATAGTTGTGTGTCGTCAGAAAGTGGAGTTTGGGGGTCGGGCCAGTCTCTATTGGAATTAATCCCATATGTTCTGTTGTTCACTAAACGCGGTTTTCACTTAACGCGGTACCCTGTGGGTTCAATTGACCGCGTTAAGCGGGGTACTACTGTATTTCTGAACATAAAGTACTACTGTTTGTGGCTCATTCATAGCATCAAACATAACCCACTGAGTCTACAAATATGCCCCTGTTTTGTATTATTTATATCCTATAAAGGGACGTGATGTGGTGTACGACTGACTGTAATCAATGACATATTATTTTGTCACAATGACGTGACACAGAAATACATATGTAATATACAGTACCTGGTGTATTCTCCTTCCTACAGTAACTAATTTAACAGAATCTAATATTTTACAGTGTTTAGCTTATTGTTACATGAAGCTACAGTGTTTATAAATACAGTACAGGTATTGTAATTGTGACACATTTAAAATGAACTGCTTAATTATCATTTTGTAGATACTGTATAGTTACAGTATATGCATGCTGTAAGGTATTCTGAGAACTGATATTGTTTCATTCTAACTTATCAAGATTACAATAGTACTGTACAATACTGTAGCTCATACATTGCTGAATTCTTTAACTTTACAGGTATCTTTATTAATTCAGGGAAAAAATCTGAAATTTGTATTAGAAACTATGAACACTAACTGTACAAATTTACCTCTTTTAAGTTAGCAGGTTAAATTATGTTCATTTTAAGATGACAGCACAATACAAGTCACCACTTGGGATCCTTGATTAAAAGTTATACTATACAGTACTCCAAAACACACTATCCATTAGCTACAACATCAACATTATTGTACTAATGTTAAATTTTAAGAATGGGGGCCCAGAATTTTTCAATGGCTATGTTACCACAGGTTCTTCACTGAAACTTATATTGTACTGCGTGTAGCTATTTTAGTGAATGGAATGGAAATCCAATGGTGGAGAAATGAAAACACCACTTTGGCAACAAGTGAAATTTTACCTTCCTACCATATTTTGTTAGTTTCTATGCATTAACATTAAAATATCACAGTTAAGAGTACATGTGCGGGTCCGACTAATTACCCAAATGTACCCAAATGTAGCCAAATATAGCCGGAATGAAGTCAAATGATGGTCCTACATGAATAAATCGGACTGCCAATCACTTCTCGACTAGTATTTGGTGTCACAAAGTCACAAAAAATTGGTAAACTTAATTTAATCTGAGTTAATAGATCGAGTGCTTGTACCTAACCTAACCTAACCTCGACTAGTATTTGGTGTCACGAAGTCACAAAAAATTGGTAAACTTAATTTAATCTGAGTTAATAGATCAAGTGCATGTACCTAACCTAACCTAACCTAACCTAACCTAATCTAATCTAATCTAATCTAATCTAATCTAATCTAATCTAATCTAACCTAACCTAACCTAACACAACACAGATTAAATTAAGTTTACCAATTTTTTGTGACTTTGTGACACCAAATACTAGTCGAGGTGTGATTGGCAGTCTGATTTATTCATCTAGGACCATTATTTGACTTCATTGCGGCTACATTTGGGTAATTAGTCGGACCGTACATGTGCACCTCAGCGACACCTTAACCTTACCAGTTAAGGTTTATCTTACCTTGTGTGTAAAGATTTGCAATGTCTAGTAGAAACTGATGAAACCGTGATCCAAAATAGGGAAAGGCTCGCTTGAACAGAGATTCTGCCAAGTAGCCAATGAAAAGGTATTTATTTCTGCTGAAACGCTCCAGTTCTGCACTGTCTCTCCAAAGGCAATCAAAGTTATGTGAGTCAGCTACAGTCAGAGGGTCCACTATCTTAAGGGAATGTTTAACAGTGAGCTGCTTGTAGTTTGCTTTACTGAGGTTGTTGTAGGAACTAGCACAGTCTGTATGAATAGTGGTTCCAGGTAGAACCCATTCCTTTAAAACAGAAACCAGTGTTTTTTCTGTTTTCTCTTTAATTGGGACTATAAATAGTTTCCTGGAGCCTCGTTCAACCCCACCAATGACCCACTGTCCTTCTATAACTCGCCCACGGTTATACTTCCACTTTCCAAACTTGGCCTCGTCAATTTCCACAATTTTTCCTTTACCACCAACCTTTTCCTTCATGCCATCACAGTGATATACAGCAACTTCTCGACAAAATGCAAACCATTCATTAACAGTAGCACGACCCACACGGACCTCCTCCTGTACCTTCTTCACAGACCTCCCAGGTGTTAGCCACAGACAAGTAATTTTTAGAATATCCTCAATGGGAAGATGGGACTTACCAAACCAAGTCCTATTTCTAGCAGATCTAAAGTAACGACAACGTAACTGCATAATTCGTTTATTATTATGTGATTTGATGTTGGTGCGGCGGTCACATCTAAAGGTTAACTTGTCCCATCTGAGGTTGACCACTGACCCACACGTCTCGCACGCGCTCGTCTCCTTCAACAGGTGATGGGTGAAGCATATCTGTTGTAATTCCATCTTATTCCCTAAACGTCGTATAAGATCTTCAGGTTCATAGTCACAGCTAATACACGTTGGTTGATCCATCTCAATAGTGTGTTTGTAGTTATAAAGGTTTGACCTAAACAACCATTAACTATAAACACTAGAGGGTAGTTGGAACAAAACAACATCGTTAAATATATTCTATAAGATTGAATTATCTATGTATTTTAAACGTCTTTCAGATAATATAAAATGAATGTTATTGATTTTTTGAAGGAATAATTACCAGATATGTTTAGTTTGATGTATATACAGTAAGTCTAGCCAGCAAAATAAAAGTTTTTACTGTATTCCGGAAATAAAGTTAAAGTCTCCATATAAAAAGCACTATAATCATATTATTAAAACTGGATGAGAATAAAAAAAGACATAATTTACAATTTATAAACTAATAATAAAGAAAATTAATATTAGCTGGTTTTCTGAAATGTGAAAATCAACTAAACACGAAAACAAGATTGTTGTATGTTTTGTTAACGCTCTTCTATGTTTGTATACATATTTAGTCACCATTTCCATTGCACAAATAGAGATATTGAAGCAAAATTCGAACAAACATTCACTGTGCTTCATTCACAAAATATCGTCACCGCTAAATAAAGCTTTACCTAATTTGTACAGGGCACTGCTACTCAAGTCAAGTGCCTAGCTTATACTACAGCCGGTCAAGGGGCGACCTAATTGGGGTGTATCAGGATCTCAAGGGGCACTACTCTGTTGAGGGTCCTTACCTGGAGCTGGCGGACGCTCGCCCCACAAGGGGTCACAGCTCAAGGCTGAAGAAGCCGCAGGTCCAGAAAACTGTGAAGGCAAACTTTTTCGTTGTGAGAATCAGTGGCGGCTCGTGCAGTCCCCCCCAGACACTCACTGCCAGGCGTATGATTCCCTTAGAGAGACAGCTGAATAATACACTGCCAACAAATATATCATTTTATATGTTATTTAATTATTTTCAATACGTTGCTAAGTGAATTTTCATTAAAATCAGACCAAAATTTAAGTTACTTTCATAGTTGCTGTCAATGCTGTACGATTGATGTCTGTTATTAATTGGCGCCGCTCAGTCTCGTACGTGTTTACATTGCGTGTGGACGGTGTGGTTAACTCGTGCTTTCTTTAATTACCCTTTGACGATGGAAAATCGAGTGAAGTATTTGCAAAACATCAACTTTTCCCAGCTGACATTAAATGAAAAGACTGAAATCAAAGCAAGAGGAAGACCTACACCATTGAACAGAACAGTACAAGCAGGAACAAAGAATATACACGCCAGTTTAACATCAGTGTTTATGGCTCTGTGGTTGTGACGAGGCAAATACTTTATTCTGCTTATTGTTTGGTGGGGGACTCGGCAGTGGTGTGACTGACTAGAGGCATTTGCTACAGAAAATAGTGAAACATGAGCAGTCAGCCAAACATATGAATAACATGATTAATTTATCGTTGCCCTGGGAATTCGTGGACATCAACTACAACTCATACCTGAGGTAGGTCAAATTTGTGTATCCTACTGTTGTGTGAGGCTTGCAGTCCCTCCATTTTATTTTTCACGAGCCGCCACTGGTGAGAATTGTGAACTCGGAACAATCTGCCAGAAAGTGTTGTGACGGCACAGAGTGTCATGAGCTCTTTCAAGGTCAAACTTGACCAACACTGGAGGAGGTTCAAGTACATTCAGGAGCCGGTACAAGACCAGCAGTACTTGCCAACAGTGCGTAAAAGAGACGTGACCGACCGTCCAATTGGCTAACGAGCCTATCAATGTTGAAGAGGGTAAAAGTAAAAGTAAAATGCATGGTGTGGAGTCCTGTAATGCTGATGCCAAGGTATATTATACTCCATGGCTTCAACCTTCCAGACAGACTTTATACGCAGTCTAAAAAAAAAAAAATTCTTAGAGCAGCATGACCCACAGGCGTCGTTGTTCTACTGAGCCATTGTCAGGCAGTCATTAAAGGGGATAAAAAGTTATTAGTTCATTCGGTAAATTAGGAACGAGTCCGAGTAATTCGAAAGAAAACGGATTTTTTTGACAAGTACCATAAGTAGGGGTTTTATATTGAATGTTTTTGTTTTATGATTATGAATGAAGCCTAATAAGTTATTACTTGTGAAATTCCGTGGTCGACCTCAAATGATTCTTAACCATTATTAATATTTTAACACCTCTAAAATGGAGTTTACTTTATAATGTACGTAAAATATACTTAACATAGTTGACCATAAAACTTCTTTAACATAAGAAAATGGTATATATTTTTGGTAATACTTATCTAGATTTTAATCGTGTTATTAAACCCTTCAATTTATTAAAGTTTATATCTGTTATGTATTTCCTATGTTTTTCCTTATTTAATTGATCATTATACGTTCTTGGAGACAACTGTGTAAGGTTTAAGGTTAATTAAAATATTTGTATTTGTATTCTATTTCTTTATTAACATACAGAGGAAGTGGAGGACAGAGATAAGAGGGCAGACAGGTGAAAAACAAGAGCAGGAAATAGACAGAAGGAGGAAGAGAAAAATGAAGATAATGACGGGGATAGAAGAAGGTAGAGTTTGTGAGAGGTAGACAGCGTTTGTGAGAGGTAAAAGAGTGTTTGTGACTGATATAACAGGTAATGGTGTGAAAATAAGGACTACTTACCACCTAAATGCCAGACCAAATTCACAACTTACATTAGGAACGATTTTTTTTTTTCAAAGTCCAATGTGTCACTTCAGAAATGGCTCCCTGTAGTATAATTTCCTTCTGAATGTAATAACAAAATATGAAAACCAAATGGTTCCTCCAAAAACACCAACTTATACACGAGACCTGATTTTTCCCAAATTTTGGAGAGGAGAGAATTTTTGAGCTAAAATGTTTTTTAGTTTCATCTCTCATAGTTATGGTTTAAAAACTATTGGAAAATAAATGTCGTATATTGTAAATTCGTACATTACAAGTGTTTACAGTTCTTGTTATAATACTATTACTGAGTTACAACAACGAGGTAAGTTATACATTAGTACAACAACGTAAAAAAAAATATGCGAAATGGAACACTGTTGCTTACAGCACCTGTACTGTATATGTATAGTGAGACAATGAACTCATAAATGTGACAATGAAATAACACTATTGTTGTAATAATGAACCAACTTGTTTCACCGTAAGGCACAGGACGCGGTAACAACTTTATATAACAAATGAGGTGATAACAAGACTAATGTGTCGCCTTTATAACTGCAGCTTCACATCAGACTATTATAACCTTTTTGATTTATCAACTAAAATCTTAATTAATTATATTACATAACCTTAAACAAAATAATCATATAATTATCATTAAATAAGTTATGGGGTAATAATTTATATATCACAGATTTACAATACAATGTTAAGTAAATATTTATGATTATCAACATAACTTAACAGACTATAATAAGACTTAATATACCAGTACTAAAACATGGTGATGAAAACAGCTGAGTCATATATAGTGAGAGAGACAAGGAGAGACCCGTGGGTATGACTCGTGGCTTAGTTATTCCTTAGAGAGAGAGAGAGAGAGAGAGAGAGAGAGAGACGTCAACACTGAGGAACACAGATGACACCCTGGTACATCAAGAGCTAAACAACCTCTATACTATCATTAGTTTACTCCCATCAGAGCAGCGCCAAGGGTGTACTGTTCACTCACGACATCTGTGTACACCTCACATCTGAAATATTATATGTGTTTAGACAGAACCAAACATATCAAATGGACGATAGATATAATAAGAGTTCAATGATTATATGTGTACAATAAAATAGGAGAGCTTAGCCATTTTAAGTCCTGCCTATTCGACATCTAGAGTCTATAAGAGTCGCTCCACTCAATACTGTCTTTCCCTTTCCACCTTCCTTCCCACTCCCTCTTACATTTTCCACTTTCCTTCCCACTCCCTCTTACATTTTCCACTTTCCTTCCTATCTCTGTTTAGGCATTTTCCTTCTTCCTGCCTACCTCCTCTTACTGGATAACAACCTTCCCTCCTACCTACTTACCTCGTCTTCCTAAGCATCTTTCTTCCTTCTCATCCTCGACAGGAATCAGGAGGCGCCACCAGTAATAGCATAGTACTGTTGGTTAAGACGTTGTCGAATGAAGTCGTAGAACTCAGATTCGACGGTGAAGTGCTTGAGCATGAAGTTCTTGGCCGCCTGATCCACTTTAGGCTTATAGAAGTTCTCGTTCTTCTTGCGTTTGTTCCCCTGGATGTGTTCTGAAGAGGGGGGGGGGGGAGGTGTATTACTATCAAATGGGAATACGTGCAAAACACCAATGCTCCTCAGATCAGATTCACGATATATATCTCCCAGTCTGTCCTCATTGGTGACCGGAACACTAGACACAAGAAATTAGGTAACCCCACCACTAACACCAATGGTAGGAGACTTATCTCACTATGAAGCGGATATAAAGATATACAAATCATTGGTGATATTGAGTCAACACGTATCTATGGCGGGGTTCTAGACATTGGTTTTAATCTACCATACACAACTCATAGCTCTGATGTTGTCACTGATCTTATGTCTGACCACAGGCTAGTATACATGTAGCCAATGACACCCCCACTGGCGGTAAACTCAACAGATATAGACTCACGGTAAAGCAAGAGAATGAAAGCCAGTGCATAGACTTCATCCATGACTGGTACAAGAACTACGAGCCTAACAATTACCAAAGTCTCCATGACGATCTTTTAGCTGGAACTTATGCATTCTTCCCCAATAATGCCTCCACCAAAAGAGGAGGAAACGTAGTCAGCATAACAGGAACAGACCACAGCAATGTTATGATGACCCCAGACTGAAAGAACTTAAGTCTATAGCCAGGCAGACTGATGAGGATTACAAACACCTCACAGCACCCCAAATGCTCAAACTGTTTCAAACTTCACAAGCTGTAGTCCAAGAATGCGTGAATGAATTTAAACAAAAGGCATGGAAAAATATGTCAACAACCTACACCAACACACTCTCCTCAGCAAATGTTGGAAAGATATAAACGTCATAGACACTTTGATCTGATTGGCTGACCTGTAGGACGTCATAGTACCAAAAACAGTTCCAAGTGACTTACTGTTGTACTGGGAGGAGGCGTGGGCGAAGTAGCGAGGCACGTAATGTTCCAGCACGGTGAGGGTTTTGTTCCAGTCTTCCAGCACGCCCACCACCGCGAACTCTCTCTCTACTACGGCCTTGGCCTGTTGAAGCCCTTCTCTCGAGCCGAAGATCCTGTTGAAGGTGAGGTGCTCGTTGAGGTGACAGAGGAGGAGGGAAGAGGAAAGGGGGAGACGAAGAGGAAAGGGGAAGAAGGGGAAGAGGAAAGGGGACGACGAAGAGGAAGAGGAAAAGACAAGACGAAGAGAAAAGAGTAGGAAGAAAAAAGGGGAAGAAGAGAAGGGAGAGGAAGAGAAGGGAGAGGAAGGCGACGAGGAACAGTAGGGAGAGGTGGAGTAGGAAGAGAAAGAGAGAAAAGAAGCAGGAGAAAGAGTGAGAGGAGGAGGAGGAGGAACAACATGATAAAAAGGAGTAGATTTACAAGTTTTTATTATTTGATTTTTGTTTATTTTTGTTGATTTAGAAACGATTGTGGTACAGGTCGAGGTGTTGTGGTCACTCTACCGCCTTCATTTCCTCATCTGTAAAGCTTGGTACCCATTCACAGCTGGGTGGACAAGGGGGTACCTCAAGAACAAACCAGCACTCTTAGTATAAAGGTTCCTCACTAATTACAGGTACAGCAAGGCGATGAACCAATAGACCAGCAAAACGACTCACAGAAAGTAAACATCAATAAAAATCAAGACAAAACAACAAATCACCTAAATAACCCATAAAGAATAACATGAATCACCAGATCAATCACAACAACTCACGGACAATAAGGGTCGTGTCCACAGAAGAACTCGACAGTGTGACCCAGTATCTCCTTCCCTGGTGTATAGCGACACTCCTGGTCACCCGGTGTATTCAGGCAGGTCTCCAGGTCCTGTGTGAAGGAGAGAAGAATATCGTCAGAAGGCAAGGCTGGAGGTGGTAGGTGGTGGTGGTAGGAGGTGGGTGGTAGGTGGTGGTGGTGGTGGTGGTAGGAGGTGATAGAGAGAGAGATAATGATAGCAATAGACTGGACGGAGAAAGGCTTTAGCTACAACACATTAAAACTCAAGTCTATAAACATCACGACAAAAAAAATGCAAAAGAAAATCTCCATCAAGACTTTCTCCAATGAGGCAAATTACAAGAATTAAAAAAAAAAAATCCCTACGAAGCAATTTAACCCCACAAGCCCAAGTGAACCTTCAACACCCGGTAACTCCTTCAGTGTTAACTCAGACACATGATAGTTCAAGTATGTTGGGTACTTGCGGCAGTGCACTCTCACCTGTGTACTGTAGACAAAAAAACACCGACGCATACACATGGTGCTAGAAGGAGACTAGGCGTGTAAACCATGCTAATATTTACACCCAAGCTTGTAAATCATGCTGGTACGTACATCCAAGCTTGTAAATCATGCTGGTACGTACATCCAGGCTTGTAAAACACCATTACTTACACCCCCCTTAACCCGCTACTTAACCCGCTGATGTATATTTTCATCCTTCGGGCTACAGAACTTTTTCAATAAACCGTTAATTATTATTATTATTATTATTACAATACCCTGACTTCCCGTACATAGACAAAAATTTTCTTAATAGTCTAAGTCGGAAATAAGACGTGGTGAATGGTAATTACGACGCTAATCACGTGGTTGTTTACGTAACAAGAGGTCACAACTGTGCCCCATGTTAACGTAGAGAAATACACTACGTGATTTTGTATAATATTACCTTGAGTCTATTAATCATTCCTGAGCCCCACGTGTTAAGCCCTGAGCCTCCATGTGTTAAGCTCCACAAGTTCACCCCAGCGCTCAGGTGTAGGACGGTAACCTCAGTCGACCCTTGCAATAATTTTCCTATTTGTTACCTAGTCATTATTACCTTTGTTTCCACACCTCTCTATCCACACTGTCGACTACACTATCCACACTGTCGACTACACTATCCACATTGTCGACTACACCCACCCACGAGACAACAGGCGTGAACATGGATGGTGACTGGTGACCCTGGAAGGAATTGAAGCCACTCCCCCATTCTCTACTCGACAGGGGGCGCGGGGGGGAGGGGGGGGGCGTGACCCTCTCTTGGCAAGGGTTCAAGTCCCAGGCTTTACTAGGGTTGGTGAGTTGCCGGGTGGTTCTGTGGGTGACTGGGTGGGTGGGTCGGTGAGTGGATGCGTTTGGGTGAGTCCCCGTGACACACATACAAAAACCCACAACCCTCCGCTTCATAACAAGTCACCCACACACACCCACCCACCCAACATACACATTTACAAACCTTATTCACCCACCCACACCCGTCCCCACCCACACACAAGGAGTTACTGACCTTCTTTAGGAACTTCCTGGATGGTAGTTTCGTCTCAGGAAAGCGGATGTGTCTCTCCACCAGCTGAAAGGGCGCCCTCATGTGGTAGTACCAGCTCACCGCCCGCTCTATCGGCTCCCTCACTAAGCTTATCTGTATGGGCTTCCTCTTCCCGAACCTGACGAAGAAGGAGGCGATGAAGAATAAAACTTGTAAATGATGTAAATGTCAGAATTTTACGTGGTACTTTTAAATGGTGTGTTAATCTAAATGGTTAATTGTCAGGATTTACAGGAAATAAAACGGAACTTGTAAATGATGAATCAAACAAGATAAAGGTGTTCTGCCAGAATTTACACAAGTTTACACCAGAAGGAATAAACCTCACGGCTCTACAGCAGGCTACATAACTCACTGGGTAAAGTTGATGTAGGCGAAGGGTTGTATGACAGCTGTAGGTGACTCGTATGCCGAAATGTTCATCACAATGTCACGCTGCAGGAAACCGAGACACGATAATTAACAGGTAAATACTGACCACTTAAAGCTAACCATAACTCACTGGGTAAAGTTGATGTAGGCGAAGGGTTGTATGACAGCTGTAGGTGACTCGTATGCCGAAATGTTCATCACAATGTCACGCTGCAGGAAACCGAGACACGATAATTAACAGGTAAATACTGACCACTTAAAGATTAACCTAACCTAACCTAACCTAACCTAACCTAACCTAACTTAACCTTATTTGAGGGAATGAGGTTAAGTTAGGTTTTGTTAATCTTGAGGTATTATAAGCTGGGTTGGATAATTCTGCAGGTGATCCAACAATACTAATCCACCCATTAGTCAACAAATTGCTTCCTAAACTAATAAACACCTGAACAAATATATAAATCAAGAAATAATTTAACAAATATAAAACTAAAAAAAAAATCTATGTAAATAAATAAATAAATAACGAACTTAATTTGCATATACGGGAATAAATCAGTGAATGAACAGATATGAAGGATTTTTTTTCAGTTAGTTTCTTGGTAAAATATATGACATTTTTTGTAATGTTTTTCTTATATGAGGAAAATATTTATTTATATTAGTTTTGTGTAAATGAAGTATAGAAAAAAACTAAACTAACCTAATTTAACCCCCTAGAGCGCCTAAGCTATAGCCCTCACCTGCCCCCTATACCAACCCTCACCTGCCCCCCTACACCAGCCCTCACCTGCCCCTCACACCCACCCCTCACCCTGCCCCCATACCCAACCCTCACCTGCCCCCTACACCAGCCCCTCACCTGCCCCCACCAGCCTCACCCTGCCCCCTACACCAGCCCCCTCACTCTGCCCCCACACCAGCCCTCACCTGCCCCCTACACCAGCCCTCACTACACCAGCCCTCACCTGCCCCCTACACCAGCCCTCACCTGCCCCCTACACCAGCCCTCACCTGCATCTTAGTGTGTGGGATATGGACCATCTCTGTCCTTCTGCCAGGCTTGAGGATCGTGGTGAACTTGTTGACGGCTGAGAGAGACAGCAGGAGGTTTTTGATGGTGGTGGAGCCGCAGCGCAGGAGAACAGTCACCAGTAGTACCTCCTCCCGCGCCTCCTTCGTCCTGTTGAGAGGGGCGCCCACTTCCTGCACCGCCGTCGTCGTTGTCACCACACTTCGTTCTGCTGCTGGTGGGAGGGACGGTGTAGTGGTTATATCTGTGTCTTTGAAGGATACACCTGAAGTCTGGGTACACTAGTTTATTTCACCTGAGGATTACACACCCTAACACTAACCTAACCTAACACTAACCTAACCAACACTAACCTACCCTAACACTAATCTATCCTAACTCAACCTAACTTAACACTATCCTAACCTAATCTAACACTATCCTAACCTAACACTAACCTAACTGAATTCAAATCAACCTAAACTAACCTAACGCTGACACCAAGCTTAAGTTAACCTAACCCCCCCAGGTAGCTTTAGGGGGTTTAATCATCAGGTGAAATAAGCTGGGGTGGCTAAGCTTCAGGTAACCAGAGTAGGCCATTAGGCGCCGTTCACGAGGTCTTAATTCTTACACCGAACAACATGTAAAAAAAATTAAAAAAAAATATAAATAAAAAGTAAAATTATTTCAACCTTAAGATTTATATTCAAACGAGTTATTTCAAGGTCATTTGGATTGGTTCTACTGCGGGAGGTCATGTCTGTACTCACCCGTGTACTCCTGGTGGGCGTCTGAAGGGTTGAGCTGGGGTGAGACTAACAGCAGATGGATATACATGACGAGTGTAGCCGGTACACACACAGCCGCCACCACGTCGCTCACCCTGGGGAAAAAACAAGAATTAACATTGAACTTAACATGACACAAGCTAAGTATTTAATGGTGGTAGAACATCCTGGGAATAACAACAACAAATTAATTGACAACTATCAATTTTGGCTTTATCTACAGTTTAGTCAATGAAGCTAAACCCCTCTGCTCCATCATCAATGCTTTCCTCAGCCAAGCAAGATGCCCAGCTGACTGGAAGACCTCATATGTGTCACCAGTGCCCAAGTAAACCAGCCCACAATCCTTTAATGACCTGCGACCCATTGCCATCACCCCAATACCCAGCTTAATCTGAGAGGGTTTTGTACTTGACTGGGCCTATACCGACTACACAGGTCCGATAGATCCTCGGTAGTAACACAACAGGTAAACCTCCTCCACCACTCACTGTCTTGTCAGATTTCTTGATTTCATCTATCACAGCCTAGAGAAATTGTAAGACGTCTGTGGCTGGCATCTTCACTGACTTCAACCAAAGCTTTCGATCTAGTTATTTACAATATAATTATCAACAATACCATTGACTTGGGGTTTCGGAGAAGACTTATACCATGGCTTACAGACTTCCTGAGTGACCGACGTCAGACTGTAAGCTTGCAAGGGGCTGTCTCCACCTTTCAGTCACTTACCTGCAGCGTCCCCCAAGGAACTATAATATTAGACCGCTCTGCTTCCTCAACGATGTCCTGAAGGATATTCTCGCTCGCTGGAAATATGTCGACGACTCCACCATAAGGATCATTGTGAATAACTTAGCTCCCTACTACACCGCCCTCCAGGATATACTGAACAGTCTCCAAAATTGGGCCACCAACAACCATGTCACCATCAACCACACCAAGACCATGGTTATACATATGAACCTCTCCTCTGACCTTGTCCCATCTCCCTCCATTACTCTGGGCCCCAACACACTCCAGGTTGTGGACTCCACCAAGCTCCTCGGCGTCACTATAGATAACAAACAGAACTGGAAATCACCCGTCAGGTCTTCCTCCTCTCGTCTCAAGTCCCTCTGAGTCCCCGAGTCCCAGTTCATGAATGTTTACACAACATTCATATTTCCTAACGTCCCCTAAGCTTCCCCTGCCTGGTCTTCTTCCTTAGCTCCTACACAGCGAGGACACCAAGCAAGTGTAGTAATAAGCGTACAACACTATTACCTCCCTCTCCTACACCACAAGAGGCGCTCAACTCTCTCTGATCATCACCATGACCACATATGTCATAAGTAACTACAGCTACTACACCCTCCTCGCCACCGCCTCCTGCCACCACCCTAAAAATTGCCGTTTAATACCACAACCGCATCTAACTCACACGACCACGTATTGATCGCTATAAGAACCAACCAGTTCCAACCATTGTAAAAATCGTCAACAACTCGTAGATAACTTATGTGTTCACTCTTTACCAAGGTCACTGTTGTACTAACTGTGGCTCAAATTCCTTGTTTAATGCCCCTCTCCCAATTTTATTATACATTATATATGTACAACTTATGTTATTTGTATATTTTTAGCTTAAAACGACGCACGCACTCACGCACTCACGCACGCACAAGCTATGAGAAGTGTGGAGGGTGGCAGTGTCTACTTTTTGTCTACATGTATTGTAGTGACACAGTAAAGGCGGTGGTGTGTGGTGGTGGTGTGGTGGTGGTGGAGGTGTGGTGGTGGAGGTGTGGTGGTGGTATGGTGGTGGAGGGCAATAACCCCACGTAGAATTAGGGTAGGGTGGACCCGGTATTGCCGCTGGGCCTCTGGAAGACCGAGTAGAGGGACGACACCCCCCTCCCTCTCTCTCTCTCTCTCTCTCTCTCTCTCTCTCTAACCTAAACTAACTTAACCTATCCCAATGTCTCTCAATGGATAGGGTAGGGTAAGAGTAGGGCAAGCCAAGAGTAGGGTAGGGCAAGAGTAGGGCAGGGCAAGAGTAGGGCAAGCCAAGAGTAGGGCAGGGTAATAGTAGGGCAAACCAAGACTAGGGACGGGCAAGAGTAGGGCAGGGCAAGAGTAGGGCAAGCCAAGAGTAGGGAAGGGAAGAGTAGGACAAGCCAAGTGTAGGGACGGGCAAGAGTAGGGAAGGGCAAGAGTAGGGAAGGGCAAGAGTAGAGAGCTGGTAAGGACAGGTAGGAACTGGACTTAGAACAGGTAGGAGGGATCCCATGAGCCAGGTAGAGAGACTAACTAGGTCACGCCACCAGGTGTGGGGTCAGTAGTCAAGCGTCACCCAAGAAGATGGAATGATGGCCACTTTTTTTTTGTAGGTAAAGGAAGATTAGAGGTGGGGGAAGGAAGTTATAGTTCGGAGATTGAAGAAATTCAGGAGGAGGTAAGAGAGGGCGGGCTGACCGCCTAGCTAAGCTAATAGTGTGTTAGGGTTGTGTCATGGGTTAGTTATTGTCTGTCGGTACAGGCACTAGACAGCCTACCCTGTCCCATTTATGGGTGTTTTAAGGGCCTTATTTCATATTCCGCCGACCCTACTGGCGGATGCTGGTCTAGGGAGGTTGTCTATTGCCTGGCCGTGTAGATCGGGGGTGGTAATGGACCTTTTGAGATTTCGTAGCTTTTTGGGAACCATGTATGGTTGTTGTCGTTATCTGGTGGGTGTCTTTGAAGGAGTTCTTGCTCTGATCGTTCTATCTTTTGCCAGATTCTGCTGGCCAGGGTGTGCAGCTGCTGGTTGATGGGTTTCATTCTCAGGTCTCTATGTATCTCGGCTGTGGTTCTGGTGAAGGGGTATCTTTCACCTGTGACGAATCTTAGGGCATCATTTTGGACCACCTGTAATTTTAATATTTGAGTGGTGCTCATAGTATGAAGAGGTACTGCTGGGTAAGTTAATATCGGTGTGATAAATAATGTCACCAGGCGGAGTTTTATTTTCTCAGGAAGCGCTTTAAAGCGGTATAGTTTTCTCAGCTCTCTTCTTGCTTTTCCTTCCTGGTGTGGACATGATGGGAGTAACCTGTAGTGGATATATGTAGGCCCAGGAGTGTGCCTCTGCTTTTGTAGTCTATCTGGGCATTATTGGTTACTAATGGATGGGTTTTCCTTCTGCATAAGGGTATCACTGTGAATTTCGGGAGACTGGTTTGGATTTTCCATTGTTTTTCGTAGTTATTTACCCTTTCTAATTCCCGCCTGGTGTTGTCGGCCTGTAACGCTCGCGATTTTCCTTGATGTGTTGTTGTTTGAGTGATGTCGTCTGCATACATAATATCTTCGTTGCCTATTCTAGTGGGAGGCGGGGTGTCACTTGTGTAGATAATATATAGGGTGGGGGAGAGGACGCTCCCCTGAGGGACTCCACTCATGAGTGGGAAGGTCTCTCCTGTGTGTTGTCCTACCCTCAGTCTGGCATTTCTGCCGTCAAGAAAGTTGCAAAGCAACTTTTCAATGTTGGTGGGAAGTCCGAGTTGGAGGATCTTATATTTTAGACCGTCATGCCAGACTTTGTCAAATGCCTTCGCTACATCCCGGAGAGTTAGATTACATTGTCTACCACTCGCCGCGGCTCTGGCTATGTTCTCACATGCCAGGGCTATCGCTGTTGTGGTGGACTTCCCTTTCCTGAACCCGAATTGTCTGCAGTTGACTCTGTTTGTTGTTTCCAGGTGATTTCTCAGACGGTTATTGAGGATTTTTCTAGGCTTTTTCCAGGTACTTTGAGGAGGGAGATCGGTCCGTAGTTTAGTGGGACGGCGGGGTTCTTTCCTTGTTTTGGTGTTAGGGCTCTCTTACCCACGTCACCGGGGCAGGACACGGGGGGGAGGGTACCAGGACACGGGAGGTACCAGGGTCCAGATGGTAGTTTACGAGTTGCTTGCGGTGGGAGTGTGAACCCGGAGCCTTGCGCCGCTCGACCCCGCCAGCTGGCTTATACACAAAAAATACTCCGCCAGTTTCTACACCAGCTAATTGGGTCGCTAGAGACATTACAAGGATCTGGCACTAAAATGAGTTAAATTACCACCTTCCTCCCGCCACCAACCATGGCTACCAACAACAGCTGTGTCAATCACTACCTCCTCAGCGGCCGTGTTGGTCATGATTACTGCCAACAGCTACCAAACACAGTTATCGAGGGCACTTCCGTTCCACCCTGTTATGAATAGGTGCCTAACTGTACAGTTATTGAGATGTAGGCTGAAGAGTACAGTGCCGGACACACTGTACCGACGGGAGGAGGGGAGGACAGGGCTCCCCAGATTGATTCTTTCCTTCACCCCCGCATAGCCCAGTAAGTGTTGCCAATGTCACGGTCAGTACACTCCCCACCTCACAAAAAAGAACAAAACGTTGCCAATGCTGCTTCTTAGTAACACACCATAAAAGTGTTGCCAATGTCACGGTGTGTTAGCAGTCACGATGACAAACTAACCCAGAGTGTGTGACGGCGTCGGCGACACTGTCTTCCTACAGACATACTCTCAATTCTACTTCCTGCCCGAGGTAAGTGACAACAACAAATTTCTTACTACAGAAAGTCTTGCCGAAATTTTTTTTTTTTTACTAGAGGGAGGCGCCAAAATTATAGTTCTGCTCCATTAGAAGAACTAAATTTGGTGGCTGTTAATCGGGCTAATTCCAGCCGTGTCTGACTGATGAATCACTTTTTCGCGTGCAGTTCTCGGTTGCCAAATTATCCATAAATATTGGGGATAAACCGGTATGACCCGTTACTGTATAAACATGAGGTCCGGATAACAAATGTTTGTATACTAATAACCTATTACAAGTTTTCCTGAATGTAACTTACTCCAAAATATCTTTACGATTTTCTATGAGACAACATGACACAAGGGACGAAGGATTTTGACAACCCTACCGAGACAACAGGAGTCACAGTGTTCATTAAGGTGTGTAGTCTCTGGCACTGTACTTTATCACCTGCATTTCCTCAACTGTAAAGTAAGATACACATTCACAACGGGGTGCTGTAGGAGAGAACCCGTGACCTTCAGAATAGGAGGTGAGTACTGTA